TCTTTAAAAAAACCCATTCTGTGTAAGATTGTAAGATTATTAAACATTGAATACCAATGTAGGATCAAAATTAGTTTATTTTTGAAGTCTGGTGTAGTTTTATTTTTTCTAGGTTTCATAAATTGGTAATTATTTTTGACTTTATAATCAACTGCAGTTAATCATATGATGGTTCTTAACTTTAACTTCTAGGTGTTGGAGAAATGCAGTGAGATTAAGTGGCATTTTATAGGTCATCTCCAGAGAAACAAGGTCAATAAACTTGTTGGTTAGTATTAACTTTTTTCATTGTTTATTCATATTTCAGTCACCAGCATTTGTGTATCATAAAGGGTTTGACAAGTTGTTAAGTCATTATTGAAATATGCATAATTAATTGAACAAGTCTGTTTGTTCATTTGATAATAGTTGATATTGCTAGAGAAAATGAAATTTCTAAGTTACCTAAGAAATCATTGAAACATTTACTTGTTAACATAAAATGATCTACAGGTAACAATTTAGGAGATTGAATGAGCCTTCAAGTCTGTTCCTACATATTCACCATTGAGAAAAACAAAAAAGATCATTTTTTCATCCCCACAATCATCCAACTAGCCCTCTCCATGAATCTTTTCCAGTAAGTCAATATCCTTTCTTACACGAAGAGATCAAACTCAATAATCATAGTGAGGCCTAACTAGCAATTTGTATAAAGATATATTTTTTTTTGACATGCAATCAGTATATTTATAAACATACTAAAATTGTATTAGCTGTACTACTAGCAACTGATCACTGCTTTTATGGCATGATTTAATTATCCTCTCTAATGCGTAACTCCTTTTTTCCAGTTACATTATTGATCCAAATTATGGTAACCCAAATGTATTTCTATTTATTATAGTTAAAGATCATTTGCCAACTGTTTATCCAACCTACCGAGTCATTCTCTAGTACGTTAACATCCTCAATTCACCTGTAACTAAGAGTTAATGTCATCAGCAAACTTTACTAATTTAATAATTATACTCATATCAGTAATGTATATAAGAAAAAGCAAAGGCCTAAACACTAACCCCCCAGAGTACACCATTAGTAACAAAGGTCCAGTTTGATTCTATTCCATCAGTATAACATTGGTTGCTCTCAATCACTGAGCCTCTCTATAATCCAAGTAACTAGACTTTTGTTAACATATCCCTGTGACCCCACATTGATTGGATTTTTCTTCTTGTAAATGGAATTTTATCAAAAGCTTTATTAAAATCTAACTACATCAAGTTCATAACCTTTTCATCATCATTCAGATAAGCAATATCCTCAACAAATGTTAACACTTCAGTAATGCATATTTTCCTGTTGGTGAATCCATGTTGGCTGAACTATATTTATGATATAGTTTTGGTCTCTTGATTATGTAGTACAAACGAGGTAACACAAGTGAAAATCACTGAGCCTGGCCATCTTGGAATGTTAATATTAGCTAATTGGAATTGGTTAAAGGAACTTAAAATGCATGGTAATTACTTGCATGTAGTTTAACCAAAAATGTAAAACAATTATTGTATGTTTTGTAACTAAATTTTTAAAAAAATGAGTTCAACGTTTGATTAAATAACTTCAACTTGTGTGGGACAAGATTGTTTTATACCTGCCTTACTTTAAACTCATGTTAGAAGGTGTGGTACAGTAAAGACTTATAGTTTAATTAATCTCATGTTTTTGAAAAATCCTATATTCCAAATAGAATTTCGATTTTTGTAAAATAACAGCTAGAGTTGAGTGATTTAATTGATTAATCAATTACCTATGAACAGTAATTACATTGATTATTGTCATGTCGATTAATTGATTAAACAAAATTTTGATTAACTCAACTGTTATGAAAATTATCAGTGATTCCAATTATTACTGTATTCAGTTATTCTAACAATCAATTAACCAAACTCAGTGTTTCTAGGTATTAATATTTTGGAATATTCCAACTATCCAAGTAATCAAAATATTGCAATTATGTTTTTCTGTTGTTTTTCTTAATTGCCAAGTTCCACATAAGATATCTGTGCTCTGCCCAGTTTAGTCTTAAATTTTTTTCTTTACTTCAGATTTGTTCAGATTTGATAGTCTTGGGCTTAATTCCCATTGCCATTAAATTATTTTAAAGCTGTGAGGCTGTCTGCCATTGTCACCACTGGTTTTAAACTGCTGACTAAAGGGGAAAGCAACTGGTTGGTATCAACTTTTTTTTTCTCGTTATGAACCACTGACTAGACGGAAAGCAAATGGCTGGTAGCATTCAACTTGCTGCCAACTTTTTTTTAACATGTACTTTACTGTGGTTTGTGGAACACTACTAATTGATTAATGGGGTTTTTGATTAATTGATTAGCAAATCATTCAGCTCAAGTAGCTTTGTTAATTGTCATTTTTAAATCAGTGTTTGTTTTAGACAAGATATAATTTCAATAATTAACATTGTACTTTAAGGAAGGTAAATTAAGTTGAAGGTTAAAAATATTTCATTTGTGTTAACAACTTATTTCATAATTACCTTACACACTTTTAAATTTTTCACTTTAGTACTCATTATTATAAACTTAGCTGGCCTGAAATACAACTTTTGTATGTAAAAAAATGCTTATTTTAAAACTAAAGATTTATGCCACTATTATTCAGTTAATTGTTTATTTATGCATGTATATGTAGCAAAAAGAACACACACTTTTTTTTCCAAATATACGTCTTTTGAAACAGGAAATTTCGTTTTGAAGTTACAGGAGTTTCAATTTTTAATTGAAGCTGTGTTTTTTATTATATAAAACTAGAAAACTCAATGAAAAACTCCATTTTAAGATTCCATGCTGCCTAGTGTGATGTTTCATTCATTATATTTTCTGTTACAGGAAATGAAAATGCAGTAATGTTAAAGAAGTGAAGGGAAAAAGGTTATTAGTTTTAAACACAACTGTATTTACCAATCGGTATTCTCAATTTTATTTTAGTTATTTAAAATTTTTTATTATTTCTAAATGCTGTTCAAAACTTGGCATCTGCATGCTAAACAAAAGGCATGTCAAACATAAATCTTAGTGAATCTTTAGTTTTTATAATTGAAATATCTTTGATACAGTTTATTACTGTATTGCTTTTGTTATCCTGGTTGGACCTGTTGATTTCATTTGGGCAACTTCTGCTTTTATAAAAAATAGTTTAATTTTTTGATTTGGATAAGCTTATGAGTGAGCTTTTTTGTGTGTATAAGGTGTAAATTCTCAATTATATATATATATTTTTTCTCTCTTTGCAAGTACATTTCACTTACTCATGAAGTGTTAATATGGTCTCATTTTGTGAAGATTAAAAAATGATTACCCAAACATTTTTAGTTTTTTGACCACCTGAATACAAAAGATGCATTGAAACAACTTGGTTGTTCTAAACATAGATGTTACAACTTAAAGAAAATTTTCTGTCCAAGTTTCATTTAGAATTTTTTCTCTTTCCTATGTTATTGTTATTTATTAGCTGTTCCCAACTTGTATATGGTGGAGACAGTTGATTCAGAGAAGTTAGCTGATGTTCTTAATAAAGCCTGGGAGAAATTACAGAGCAGTCAGAAGCTTAAAGTTATGGTTGAAGTAAATACCAGTGGTGAGGACAGTAAGTATATGAAAGTGAACTTTTGTGGCAATGAGAATATGTATGTAGAAGTGAACACTACTGAGGATGATAGTATATAGAAGTGAACATGACTGAGGGTGATAGTATATAGAAGTGAACATGACTGAAGATGATAGTATATAGAAGTGAACATGACTGAAGATGATAGTATATAGAAGTGAACATGACTGAAGATGATAGTATATAGAAGTGAACATTACTGAGGATGATAGTATGTAGAAGTGTGAACACTACTGAGAATGATAGTATATAGAAGTGAACACTACTGAGGATGATAGTATGTAGAAGTGAACACTACTGAGGATGATAGTATGTAGAAGTGAACACTACTGAGGATGATAGTATATAGAAGTGAACACTACTGAGGATGATAGTATGTAGAAGTGAACACTACTGAGGATGATAGTATATAGAAGTGAACATGACTGAGGATGATAGTATATAGAAGTGAACATGACTGAGGATGATAGTATATAGAAGTGAACACTACTGAGGATGATAGTATATAGAAGTGAACATGACTGAGGATGATAGTATATATAGAAGTGAACATGACTGAAGATGATAGTATATAGAAGTGAACATGACTGAAGATGGTAGTATATAGAAGTGAACATGACTGAAGATGGTAGTATATAGAAGTGAACATGACTGAGGATGATAGTATATAGAAGTGAATACTACTGAGGATGATAGTATATAGAAGTGAATACTACTGAGGATGATAGTATGTAGAAGTGAACATGACTGAGGATGATAGTATGTAGAAGTGAACACTACTGAGGATGATAGTATATAGAAGTGAACATGACTGAGGATGATAGTATATATAGAAGTGAACATGACTGAAGATGATAGTATATAGAAGTGAACATGACTGAAGATGGTAGTATATAGAAGTGAACATGGCTGAAGATGATAGCATATAGAAGTGAACACTACTGAGGATAACAGTATGTGGAAGTGAACACTACTGAGGATGACAGTATGTGGAAGTGAACACTACTGAGGATAACAGTATGTAGAACTGAACATGACTGAAGATGATTGTATATAAAAGTGAACATGACTGAATATGATAGTATATAGAAGTGAACACTACTGAGGATGATAGTATATAGAAGTGAACACTATTGAAGGTGATAGTATGTGAAAGTGAACACTTCTGAGGATGACAGTATGTGAAAGTGAACACTACTGAGGATGACAGTATGTGGAAGTGAACACTACTGAGGATGATAGTATATAGAAGTGAACACTACTGAGGATGACAGTATGTGGAAGTGAACACTACTGAGGATGACAGTATGTGGAAGTGAACACTACTGAGGATGATAGTATGTGGAAGTGAACACTACTGAGGATGATAGTATATAGAAGTGAACACTACTGAGGATGACAGTATGTAGAAGTGAACACTACTGAGGATGACAGTATGTAGAAGTGAACACTACTGAGGATGACAGTATGTAGAAGTGAACACTACTGAGGATGACAGTATGTGGAAGTGAACACTAGTGGAAATGAAAGTAAGTATATTGAAGTAAACAGCAGTGGAAGTGAGAATGTTTTGGAAGTGAACACTCGTGTGAATGAGAGTAAGTATTTGGAAGTGAACACTAGTAGGGATGAAAGCAAATGAATTCTGTGAGTATATGTGGAAGTTGTGCATGCATAAGAAACTACACCAAGAGAGAAATGGTGTGGTTAAAAGATAATGTATATAGAAATGAGAAAAAGTAATTAATTTAACACACAGTTGTATATTCAAAATTAGTATTAATTTGTCTAGGTAAAAGTGGTGTGGACCTTGGAAGAGTTTCTTCACTAGTCAATCACATCATGGATAAATGCCAGAATCTGGAGTTTACAGGTCTAATGACAATAGGAGCATTTGACCATGACGTTTCTTCTGGGCCTAATCCTGATTTTCAAAGGCTAGTAAAATGTAAACAGGATACATGCAGCCATTTGGGTTTGGATGTAAACAAAGTTGAACTCAGTATGGGAATGTCAGGAGATTTTGAACATGCAGTATGTTACTATTTTTCTTCAAACACAAGCTTTCCTTAATGAGATAACTGTTAATTTTTCTTCTGAATTACCATATAAGGTTTTGTCTAATTTCCTTTCTTTATAAAAAAATAACTCAGAAATATCTACAGCTGTAATAATTCTATACTTTAAAGTTTTTTTGTTATAGTTCAACAAAATTTCTAAATATTAAAACTAGACACATTGAATGTGTTGCCACAGAATAATCACAGCTTTTTATGATTTTAAAGTTAAGTTTTGGTTGTTTCTCATCTCCATTTGTTTTTTTAAAACAGTACGTATCTTGTACTAATGAAGATAAGAGTATATTCCAAGCTGGTTTAATATGAAACGTACACTGTCAGTAACAGTTTTACTAATTATAGCAAAACATTACAAATACAAGTCCAATAAGGTCAGATATTTTCAGCCACAATTACATTATAATTTCATTTTCAGAAATTATCAAAATGGATCATTACAATGAAGATTAAGCTTATTTATCACTTCATAACAGTATATTTTGTTTTGCTAATATTTTGCTACCCAATAAGTTTATTTCTGTGTTCATTTCCATTATCTGTGTTGTGTGTGTCTATGTATATATAAACATTATTAAAAATTACTTTATTGTCATTTTAAATTTTCTTACTGTAAAGTACTTTAGGGCTGGGCAATAAAGTATATTTGCTGAAATTATGTATATATATTATCTAGTTTATTGTTTTTTAGTTTACAGTTAATTAATGGTTCTATGTGGTAATTAGTAGGGCCTGAGAGTATTGTTAATCAGCATCTAATGTACTTTTAACTATCTGTTGATTATCCAACATGAACTTCTTATCACAGTACAATTGTATTATGATACAAGGTAGTTCTGACTTAGATGGTGCTACAAACTTTAATATAAATATCAAGATGAGTCTAACACTAAAGAGTAGTAGCTAAAAAATGAAATACAAGGACACAAGTTTATAGAAGTTAAATGAAGATTTAACACCTGTATCAGTTTAGTTTTTGGTAGTTTATCATTAAGTAACCTTATTACCTCATGGGTATTTTAATGTCAGCCTAAAGTTCAGTTTTGTAAAATGTTTTATATACAAAATGTGTGTATGAAAAATTCAGAGCTTTTCACTTGTTGATTTGTTTTATAAAAGTATTCTCAATAATATTCAGTGAGAACTACCACAATACAGTAGATCTGTCTCAGTATGACCATATAGGAATGTATTTATACTTTATTGCTGGTGTCATCAGTATTAGTTAAAAATAAAGGTACCATCATTGGTAATTTCGTCCATGACATTTAATGTATATATATATATTCTACAGGTAATTGTAGTCTACATATTAATTTCTCTGTATGAAATGTTAGGCTAGTTACAGTAAATGATAAGTGGTTTCTTTTTTTATTATTTTACAGCTAAGATTAAATATTATTGTATTCTGTGTAGTATAATACAATGACTTTTGTCTCTTGTAGATTGAAGTTGGAAGTACAAATGTGCGTGTTGGAAGTAAAATATTTGGACCTCGTAGCTATCCTCAAAAGAACACAGACTAATATATATAGGTATCCTGGAACCAATAGAAACCTAACCAAGAAAGACAACATTGAGTTTCATTTCATTAACTTGTTTATTATTACTTTAGTTATTGACAAAGTTTCTTCACTGATACAAAGTTTTTTTTATCTAAAAGTCTATCTTTTGTAAGAAATATTAAGATTATTCACATTTACGTGAGTTATGGTTATTTTCAAGTGCTGGGCATGTTCTAGTTGTTGTCGTGCCTAGACATGAGTCCAGGGAATCCACACTTTTGGGTCATGGGTGGGCTATAAGAGTGGTGGTCACATACCACTATTTATTTAGATATCCCAAGAGTTGGCAGTGAATAACTGCTTTCTCTTTAGTCTATCAGTTCAGAATTAGGGATGACTTTTCACAGATATAATTTGAATAATTTTTTGCAAGTATTCAAGACAATGAAATAGTTTTATCTTAGGTACTGTTCTAGTGATGTGTAAGCATTAATGTTTTTATGTATACCATCTTTTAGACTTGCTTTATTTTTAATTTAAGTGATACAATCTGATTGATTAGGATGTGAAGCTGGAGTATCTATCTGATAAATAAGAAAACTTTATCATAGAGGCATTTCTATGAAGTAAATAAATGGATATTTATGAGATAGTTTAACAGTTAACTTACTTTGAACCAAGTTGATGTACATTGTAATATAGTGTGGTCCAATTATGTATGACCTTCACCACAACAGTTGCTCAGATATTGCTTTATTTTGTATGTAGTTTGTTAATAATGGTTTCTTCAGAAATGTTACTTAGAATTTCTAGAATATTTAAAACTTTAACTAGACACACACCAAAAACGTTTGCGTTGAAAGATAGGCAAGAGGTTAATTTTATATAAAGGACTAGTGTGAACTTTCAGTATGTTTAATGGCTTGTATCCCCACAATAGAATGAGATAAGAATTACTGTAATTTTTAGGGTTTGAATGTGTGTAATGTTGTATGATTCATTTGTAAAATTGTATGTGAAGAGGAATTGATAATTAATAACATGTTGTAATAGAGCTTCTTGACCAGTTACCCTTGATACAATATGTTTAATTTATTGTAGTAATAAATTCTGTTGAATGTATTAACAATTGGTAAGCAACTATATTTTTAAGCAGAACAAACAAAAAACTTAAAGCAGTTTTTCTTAACTTATGTAATAATGAATTAACTTTAGTTAGAACTGTTGAAACATGGTTTAAGTGTACCAAATATAGCACTGGTGTTTTGTATTTCTTGTATGGAGATATTTGCTGCTTTGAGAGATCAGTACATTGCAGATTGTGTACCAAATAATAATTATTGGTATTGTGACTATTAGATTCTCAGTATTAATGTCAATAGGCAGTGAGTTTGTATTGTGTCTTATGATTATAAGATGTATTGTTCTAGAAGAATAAAGTGCATCGTTTTCTTGATTATCAGATGTATGTTATAAAGTATGCACATTCATGTTATTCTCTGACTTTATGTATATAGAAAAAATAATTAGATTATAAAACTTTTAATCAACAAAGTGTTGAATAATATCACTGAAACATACGTCTTAAGAAGAAACTTACAGAACAATTAGTTCCATGTAAGTATTGATTTCCATTGTACAATTAGTTCCATGTAAGTATTGATTTCCATTGTACAATTAGTTCCATGTAAGTATTGATTTCCATTGTACAATTAGTTCCATGTAAGTATTGATTTCCATTGTACAATTAGTTCCATGTAAGTAGTGATTTCCATTGAACAAATTAGTTCCATGTAAGTATTGATTTACATTGTACAATTAGTTCCATGTAAGTAGTGATTTCCATTGAACAATTAGTTCCATGTAAGTAGTGATTTCCATTGAACAATTAGTTCCACATAAGTATTGATTTCCATTGTACAATTAGTTCCATGTAAGTAGTGATTTCCATTGAATAATTAGTTCCATGTAAGTAGTGATTTCCATTCTACAATTAGTTCCATGTAAGTAGTGATTTCCATTGTACAATTAGTTCCATGTAAGTAGTGATTTCCATTGAACAATTAGTTCCATGTAAGTAGTGATTTCCATTGAACAATTAGTTCCATGTAAGTAGTGATTTCCATTGTACGATTTGTTCCATGTAAGTAGTGATTTCCATTGTACGATTTGTTCCATTAAGTAGTGATTTCCATTGTACGATTTGTTCCATGTAAGTAGTGATTTCCATTGTACGATTTGTTCCATGTAAGTAGTGATTTCCAATGGTTAATATGGATAAAACTGTGTATTTTTAGAGGCTGAGGTTTTTCAATAAAGGAATTTCAATTTCATAAACAATAATCAAACATGTCCAACATCATGTTGTACACAGTGCTGCATAGGAGTAATAAATGAAATAAAATGTAATTGCAATATTGATCAATATCTTATATTTTCCCTCTACATTCAAAGTGCATTATTTACAAACTTCTGTAACTAGTATATTGTAATAAGTGTGTATTTTAAACTGAACAAAACTCAAATAGAAATCCTGGTAGTGAAGTAGATTAGGTTTTTGATATTATCACCCCGTTGTTTATTCCAAGTTTAATCAGTTAGTTTTGTTGTTGAGGGTGATAGCAAATGTAAAAATTATGTAGCAAATAAAGGTAAGGACCCTCGTTCAGTTACGTCCCTGCAGTACAAGGAAGTTGCTTGTTTCAGGAACAAACCTGTTTTGAAATATATTTCTAATTGAAACCCAAGTATTCAGAATAAAGCAGAGAAGCAAGTTATTGTACACTTCTTAGCTATCAACTACAACATTATTAAGCATATTGAAACCTAGGGCTTTAATTTTTTTATGGATTGCTCTTCTCTTGGTATTTGAAGAAGAGTACGATCCGAACTCTATGTTTAGGTCTTCAGAACTTGACGAAGGCAAGAACAATTCATAAAGAATTTTCATACTACAATTTCTACTCTGTGTAGAATTTCAGTAAAGTGATGCTGAAAGAATAGCTATACTTACAAGTTATGAAACTGATATCCAAGTGTTAAAAATGAATCAATGGAATTAGGATTTTACTAATGATATTTTTATTGTTTTAACGAGTAATGGTGAGTTTTCTGGTATAACAGGTCTTCCATTGATAGATTAATATTCTAATTGGTTCTTTTATCGATTTTGGTTAGGCTAAGCTTAAGCATTAAAACTGTAGTACCAGCAAATATGTTTTCCATATTGCACAAAATTAGCTAAAATTACAACCATTTCACATTATTTTTGAAATAGTTAAGACAAAAGTCCACATTGAATTGTAAAAAAGAAAACTACCGTGTATTTATTTATATGAAAAAGTATGTAGTCCAGTAATATGAAACTCATATTCGTATTTATAATCATTTTTTTAAATGTTGCTGTTTTATTAAAAATTCTAAGTTCTGCTTTCAAGGAAAACTGCATCAATTATTAGTTAAGTTAAACTATTGTTAAGAATTCTTTCTGTAAAAATTGATAAACAACAATAAATCTAAAGTATTCTGATTGAAACATTTTGAATATTTATACAACCGAACTACAAGCATTTCTTATAGTATTGACAATAAATAATAATGTCTTTTAACAAGAATCGAAGTATAAACCCCTAATGTTATAATGATTAATAATAATAAAAAAAACAGGATACATTTCCGAAAGAGCTTTATATTTCTTGTTAATTAACAAGCCAGATTGATCGTTAAGTCATTACATTTTTAAATAATTAAGATTTGCTGTAATTGTTTTCTTTTAATCAAGTAAACCAAATCGGATTATATGCAGAGTGGTCCGAAAGTACTATGTCCTTACAACTTATTCGGGATAAACACATATATCCTGACAACAGTTTGTATAGATAACCCACTGAAAACACAAACTTAAGTGACAATATAATGGGTCAGTTTATATAGATATATTAATTGTGGTAATTACTGTAGCCATTAATATTATGAGAGTCGTATGAGTTTTTGCGAAACCCTTTACAGGAACTTTTTTTTCACCTATTTACTAAGTGTTTAAAAAGCCTAAATTATATAGTGGTACTGGCAAACTTCAGTAATTCGAATTTTACTTCTTTTCAACTTCACAGATATCTTTGTTTTGTGTTATACAGTAATTCGAATTTTACTTGTTTTCAACTTCACAGATATCTTCGTTTTGTGTTATACACACAATTTATGCTTAATTATCCAGCTTTTACATAATTCCAACTTGTGGCAAAGATTTTAGTTATACAGTTTTAAAAGATGTGCTTTGTAACGAACTAAAAACAGATAAACAAATTCACCGAGAAGAAAGATATTTTTTGAGCCAAAAGTGTTTATTCAGTCGCAGAAGTCGCCTATCCCAGGAATATTTTATAATATTGGTCATAACTGAAAAAAAAAAGAAAAAGTTTTCCTTCTATAAATGTTTAATATTGTGATCAGTTTGCTCTGTTAATGATGACGATTTAAGACTACAAGTATTATAAATACGAGCGACAACTTGAATGTCATTTTGAGATGCACATTTTTGTGTGCATTTTAAACTTAAGCATTCAATACTGAAGTCACCGCTTCCGTGCCCCCGATACCATAGATGAGAACAGTACATACAGCTCATTGTGTAGCTTTGTGCTGAACTACAAACAAGCACTATTTTCAGATGTCATCATTTTATAAAGGAATGCCTCGGGTTTCAGTTTGTTGTTTTCGTTGCTAAAGTGTTACAAGTAAAGCTAAAGTGTTACAAGTAAATGTATACTAATTATCATTTCATAAATGTTTAAGTGTTTGTTGATATAATTGATACAAATTCATGTTAATGCCAGAGAAACTAAACAATAAACTTTAAGAAGTTCATCATGTAACTCAAGAATGATTTTTTAAAATATTTAATTGCAATTTTATATAAATTTATGAGACGTACTTTAACATGTCTCACTCTCCCTCCAAAAAGGTACATTTCTTTTGATCTATAAAGTAATTTCAAATTTTTAGAAGATTTTAGGAACTATGACTAATTTTATTTTTAAAAATGATTTGGAAAACATTACGTATTTCAGTTTGATTGGCCATTTCTACCTAGTTTGTTTTGGTTAAACATTTACATATTTTTTTGTAGATATATATATTTATTTTAACCATATATTCTTTACTAAGATCTTGAATTTCTTAAACTAATAAGATGATCGCTAGATGGCAATAAAGTATTAGTACTAGCCTGCTGTACTAGATGATATGAATCGCAAACAATTTTGTCTAGTATTTCCTATTAAAGCACTATAATTAAACTATCTTAGAACTATATTTTATTTGTATTATCTATTTAATGGTAGGGAACAGGAAAAAAGGTCAAGAATCTCTTAAAACGATCTTTGTTTTGATTTTCTCCTATCTAACGTCAGCAGGAAATGATGTCATGATTTGTTTGGACAGTGAAGAATATTGCATTGTTTTCACTGGAAGCAGTGGTTCTGTTGAAGATATTAATAAAGTAAATATTCTTGATATATGCGCACGTATACTTATACACATAGACACTGAATTTGACATCAACGCTGCTTCCACAGCTTATTTTCATCATGGTACCACATCAATACCGTATCTTCACTAGTTGCACAGAAACCTGAAGACGACACTAGGCACTCTTGTATAAATCGATGCTGGAATGTCACAGTACAGTGTCGAAAAATCCTATTGATTTTGTTATATTTTCGTCCTGGAAATCAAAAACAAAATAACTGAGAATTTATAAATGTGATATATTTTCTTGTTGTGTATTTGATTTTCCAAAATAAGTTATTGACAAGTAATGTAAGATCGAAATTTGATTTGCAATGCTCATTACGGTTATATAATAAATCATAAGATGTGACGGAACATAACTGTAGACTGTTGATGTTCTTAATCATATTATCGATTTCTAGTCATCAACATGCAAAGAAAGGTTTTGAACTGTTACTTACTGTTTAAATATCACCACACTTTACGTCTGTAATATTAAAATGGCGGTGCAATTTATAAAGTTATAATAAATTTGGTTTCTCATTTCAGAAAAACCAGCCTTAAAATAAGCCTAAATATTAATTCGTAAACTAATACCGTCTGAAGGGCCCCATCCCACCAATAATGCTCGCCCTTTCAGCCGTGGGGGCGTTATAATGTGACGGTCAATCCCACTATTCGCTTGTAAAATAGTACCGCAAGAGTTGGCGGTGGGTGGTGATGACTAGCTACGTGTAGCTTTGCGCGAAATTCAAAACAAACAAACCGTCTGAAGGGTGCAAATATTTTAGGCGGGAGTATTGGGCCCCATTGGGGCCAAGCTCCCAAATTTTTATGGAGGTAAAAAATCTAGCTGGCTACTTATTCGTTTTTTTTCTTCTAAACAATAATTGTTCACTTTTTTTTGCGCGTGTACAATAATATAAACGTGTAAAACAAAACGCAATCTTCGTATTCCTTATATTTCTGTGAATTCGACTAAAGAGAAAAAAATATTTTTTCGCTGTGTGAGCAATCATTTGTTTTTCACGTTACCGTCAAAAATACTATGAACAATACTAACAAAGGTAATTTTACATTCTGAAACTTACTACGAAACACTTCCCTACGGATATAATTAACCAATAGAAACAATATTAGGAAATTAGTAGTGAAGTTTCAAGGCATACTTCCATGTGAGTAGTAAACGCGCTCGGCCGCTTCTTTTTTTTTTCTCTCCAGTAATTTTCAGTTCTTCCTACCATTAGTAAACTGTAATTTTCACTTTAATCACTCTACAATCGTCTTATAAAATATTTCTCATTTTTCATATCTTTTCGTGCTCGTGCTCCAGTGTCATCTGCCAGCAAGTCAAGGCACTAACATAAAAATGAAGGAATTTCGACATACAAATAAAGGAAAGCGTTTCATAATTATGGAAAGGATGAGTTTTAATATCTCGGAGAAAACCGGACACCTATAATTTCAGCTATATAAGCAGGAATAACAAGTATAAATTAACTGGAAAAGCCTAAAACTCTACGTTATATGGCTGCTGAGTTAAAGTGGGAGAATGTATTCTTTACTTCGAAGTTTTCGTGTATTGAAAAATAATGATCTGCCTGCTGTTTTTTGCGAAAGAAGAAGAACAATTGATGGAGTTTTCTTGCGACCGATCATTACAGTTAGAGTTTAAAAGAAATACACTATTAGAACTTTGGATTCAGAGAACTTTAGGATTCCACACATTACAAACAACACAGTTCGTTTTCTAATACCATTTGCTACTATGAACCTGTGCTAGGCAGTATTTTCATCACCTAAAGCTCTGAAGCCCAAATTCAGAAGCTAAAGTTGACGAACATTACGTCAAACATTAGAGAACTTTGCTCATAAAACCAGATGCATACGTTGTATTTAAACGTAAAAAAGTAAACCAATGATCATTTATTAATATTACAGTAATTTTTATATACTTAATTTGCTAAATTACGCGGTTATTGTGTGATTCGCCTAACCCTTCCCTTCTCCGAAACATTCAGATGGTCCACGAACAAAAAATACATTGGAACCACCAGTTTAGAGGATATTAAACTCATTGCTCATGCCTGATTTTGGACATGACAATTAGTATTATTATAAAGTAATTTTAAAGGCAATTAAGACGTAAATACAATTAGATAAAAACAAATTTATACTTATGATTCATGTATATACTGATATTTATTTGAATCACAAGCTCTCAAATACTTTCAAATGCTCTTCGTTGGGTGGAGTACCTAACTCAATTTTTGACTTTCTCAAAAAGAAAGAGAGAGAGAGAGAAATGGATAATTTCACTTGCATCCAGTTTTGTTTTTTTATTTGCCACGATTGTTTTTCCTCACTCGTTTTAATTTGTTTTGTGTAGACCTCGAAACCATATTGTATGTTGGTTTCGTTAAAAATATTTTTATTTAAAGTAGTGAACAAATATTTTTTACTGCTTGTCTTTAGAATGAAGTAGATGTTATTGGAGTCGAGGTTACCTGAAGCTCACGGTAAATGGCAACGATATGATATTTACTCAGAAAATCTAGGCTTTGCGAGAAATTGTGCTTTTAATCTTTTGTAGGAAGGATTATTCCTAATTTTTAAGAACAAAATATGCGCATGCTACTACAACAGTGTATCGCCAAAGATGCGAACCTTGGCGATACAATCTACATGCTTAGCTCTTATATGCCCCCCAGTCTGCGGACTTACAATACCCGTGGTGGGCAGAGCACAGGTAGCCCTTGTGTAGCTTTGGGCATAATTAAAAATAAACAAACAAACAAGCTCTTATATATATTTGGTTCATGTGTATTTAAGTTCATTAAACAGTGCAGTGTTATCAGAGTGAACTTATGATTGAATAAAAATGCCAAAACCCTTTCTGAGGAAAGATATTCGTAGAGCGAAATTTGTAGACAATGTTTAACCAAAGATTGTTTTGTTTTGAATTTCGCGCAATGCAACTCTTCCCTAATTCAGCAGTGATAGACTAGAAGGAAGGCAGCTAGTCAATACCACTCACCGATAACTCTGGGGTTCCTATTTTACCAACGAATACTGGGATTGACCATTACATTATAATGCTTCACGGCTAAAAGGGCGAGCATGTTCCATAACTGCGGATCGAGTGCCCTAGCCGCTAGGTCATGCTAGGTCTACTAAAGAACACAAGATTTCAAAGAATGGAGCTTTCGATGTTTTTCATGGAAGCGTAAAACTATCACGGCACAACGTTTAAGGATCCAACACCATAATCTAAGCCAACAATGAGCAACACCCTCATTCGTAAAGTGAAGGTTATAATTACTCTCGCGTTAAAAACAACAACATTGCAATGAAGTTCAGTATAGCTTCTGACACTATAATAACAAAATAATAAACAAGAACTTAAAAGTTGACTATGGCTCACATGCCGAAAATTTACAAATTGCCAGTCATGCCTCGAAATAAACGGTCAAGAGAACAAATTAAGGGCCGAGCGCGACCCAATGTTTAACTTTCCGGATTGTTGATCCGAGTTCCATAATTCGCGCCCTGCTACCACCAAAAAGAAAAAAAAAGGGGTTTCCGCAATTTGGGGCTGTGGGTGCATTATAAGAATGACAGTAAAATTCCACTATTCTATTATAATAGTCCAAGAGTTAGGTAGTGGGTGGTGTTGACTAGCTGTATTTTCTCTTATTTATCATTTTAAAATTAGGGACGACTAGTGCAGATAGCTCTTGAGTAGCTTTACGTGAATTTCCACAACCACCACCAACAACAAACGGTTTAGTGTAACGTGCATCTATCGTGTTGGAAGGTTTGTAAGGGTTTAAGTAAAGTTTAAAACAAACTATGTGTGTGACATAGTTATGACAGCGATTTAGTAGGAATTTATTATATAGTTCAGTAAATAATAATAATTTATTATCAGAGTTATCTATGTACTTAAGGCGAAACTAAAAACCAACCTGGTCATCAGTATAGCTAATTAGATATATTTTTATTACGTAGCTACTTATAAAAATTAGAATGCATTGTTTATCAGTTGGGTAGCATCACTACCAAACGATATTTTCGGCTCTAAGTCCAAGTAATTTATGACATCAAAGATATCCAATGAGTGGGCCTGGCATGGCCTGGTAGTTAAGGCTCTCGACTCGCAATAAGAGGGTTGTGGGTTCGAATTCCAGAACATGCTCGCCCTTTCAGTCGTGGGGACGTTATAATGTTACGGTCAATCCTACTTTTCATGGGTAAAAGAGTAGCCCAAGAGTTGGTGGTGAGTAATGTTGACTAGCTGCAGTCTATCACTGATAAATTAAGGGCTTAAAGTAGGCTAAAGCTAAATGTTTATTTGATGTAATATTTATGAACATCACTCTCAATTCAATGTTGTAGCAAGTTCCTATTTGTTAGATATAATGACTGATGTTACTTTTGTAATCATTTATAATAACTGTTGCATAAAAATAATGTTTAATTTTACAAATGGGCTTATTAAGTGCTATAGAGTTACATTTTTTGTTGTTTATATTGAATTTTATACAGGAACTAGCCTTACCCTTGTACAGGAATCAAGAAATTCGTCCATCGTCACTACACCATCTTGATTGAGGTCTAACTTCTGCAAGTAAAATATACCAATTTGAATATATATATTTCTTCTTTAAATTCAGTCATTTTCTTATTTCTGTGTAAGCACATATGTACTGCTCAAAACAATTAAGGAGAAAACCGGAGTTTTCTATAATCTTGCTACTTGGACTTTTGTCGTTCAATAGTGTTAGTGACACTCTACTCTTGAATTCATTTTTATGAAAAGTGCTATATGATTTGATCTGCAAGAAAACGCTATGCGCAACTATACATCTGTAGCATCCGCCTGGACTAATTGATCTTTCTGATACTCATGGGGCAGAGTAATGTTTTGGTATCGATGATGATACAGATGGAAGGAAGGAAAGGTCTAGATGTACTTATAGTAAGGCTATGTCTAGATCTAAGTTCCTTCCTATGGCTAGACAAAGGCGTGGAACAGGTGCTAGAAGAGACAGATTACCTATCATCTTATTTCTATTCTAATACTGACTTGCTATGCATAGCATTTTCTTGCTTTCTCTAAGTGCCTTTTGTCTATCAAACGCCTGTAGCATTTTGGGTGAAGCCCCACGTCACTGTAAATGTTATCAAGTTCACCTGACAAGTCCATTGAAGAGATTCAGTAATGTATTGATCGGAACCATGTAAATTGAACATGCTTTAGCACTTTCCGGATATTTATCTCATCTTACACGTGTAAAAAGCTGAATGCATTTCTTCTTGATTAAGTCTAGATTTATGAATCTATGCAAACTAGTTTTACAACTGGATTTCTTGTGAATCTTAGATGATTGACAAGAGCTTTCTTGATCTTCCTCAACATCCTTGAATGTGTCCATGTTAGTTATACATGAATACAATAGATGGTGATTGGTCAAATGAAAATTGTCATAGCTTTAGTACCACCCTCTTTTTAAGTACTAGAGATGACTGGTTATTATTGAGTTAACTTGTCAATACACTGAAAGTTAAAACATTAAATAAAGCTTTAACACACAATATAAAGTAATGAAAACTAATTTTACAGAGATATAATTAGTGTTATTTATAAAATATACATAATGGATAACACAACTGCTATGCTTGAAGTACCCCATGAATGTTGCCCTTGCTATAGACAAGTTTCACTTAATAACTAGTTTGAAAAAAAAAAACTGAAACTTTTCAGATTGTATTGTTATTACATTTGCTGTATATTCATAATAAATATTATATTATTTGAAGCATACTTATCTAACAGATAGTTTGAACTACTTTAATACTTGTATGCTTTATAATTTGCTTTCTCTTCACTTTATTTACCTTAAACAGGGTGTTTGTGATATCAGAAGATATGAGGCTCTTTTATGACATCACCAACATGTGACATCTTTCTAAACTGAGCAGATGCTTGCGGGAAATCTAGTTTATTTGATATTTTCTCCTGTCTCATTGATGATTATGTGAAAGGTTAGGCACTTATACGAGGTGGCCTGTTTTATAGGCTAGAGAATAGAAACGGAGGACTTATTTCAGCCAGCTTGTGACCAAATTAGGCAAATTTTGTTGAAACTTATGGCGTAAAAACCTTCAAAAGGTATGTGATGAAATTAGTCAATGGCTGGATAACTTTGGATGTGCTGTGACAGAAACTGTAGAATGTTTTTGTGAAGAACTTTTAACACAAGATTTCTGCTTAGAACACGTAACGCCCCTTTTGTTGGAACGAAACGACAAAAATATATCCTTTCTAAGTCTCCAGCCAACTGTATTGGTAGGCTAAGAGAGAGTTCACAATCTGCTAATCACACTTTGTGAAACTTGTATTTGATCGTCTTCGAGCCGATCTACTACTCTACACATTATGAAAACGTTCAAATGTTTTCGTTGGTGTTCTGGTATGTTTCACTATCATTATGCATCTCTCCCTACACACACACACACACACACTGTTGTTACTGAAACCATTTATTAAGAGCAAATTGAGTTTACTTCCCCTTTTAAATACCACTGAAATGCACATATAACAACACACGTTTCAAGGACATTCTAAGCAGTGTAGACATAGCAGAAATTTAGCTTAAATGAACTGGTCCTGCCTGTTTATAGAGTGGAGCGACGTTTCGGCTTCTATATGAAAGCTTTTGAAGAATAAAATTCGTCTCACTCTAGAAATGGCAGAATCTGTCCATTTAAGCCACATCTCTAATAGTGTCATAGCTAGGATACAGAAAACTGAAATTATCCTTTTATTGCTTTTGAGTTATATATGTTTAGAAATGTTTTGATACTTCTATAATAAACATTTTTGTATAGTACGAGATCCTAATTCTTCTGGTCGGATTTCCCTTGCGCATTCTTCACAAAAATTCAGCTGTATATGTTGTTTGTAAAAATACATATACTTCAGAATGATAAAAATCACTATATGCGTAAGACTAGCGAAATTGTTTGTTTTTTTGTAACGTATGCGTTTCATTACAAATATGAAAGGAAATGAATAACGTTCATGTATTGCATTGAGATTATGAAGGATGTAACGACACTTACGTCAGATAAACAGAAAATTCCGTCAACCTTACAACCTTGTCCAACTAAAAAGTCCACTTTTAAGTTCACGATGTTGTATATAAGATAATCATTAATAATTATTTGCAAGCTTTTAAATTAATTTGATAAACATACTTTACGCCAGATAAAAATGCTATTCAGAAAATGTTATTTTTTTCACCAAGGTATACTAAAGAAATAATCAAACTTTTGTTAAAGAAATTAGAATAACTATTACCTTAATCTTTGATAGGTTGTTTAGACAGGGTATTCATAATGACTCTAAGTTTCAAATGGACAGCATCTGCCTATTGTAGAAACCTACAAATGTAGAGGACGCCGTTTCGAAAGTCTTCCGCCT